ATCAGTGTGTGTTTGGTAGAGAAAAAAGTTTTATGTTATTTATAACAAAATGAAACAATGGGGCTGATTTATAAAGTTTTTGCCCAGCGAATCGCCAAGTGAATGCCATTCGCAGGACTTAGCAGCCACTAGATGGTGCTGAGGAGCATAGGGGAATTCCTATGCTATACACAAAGTAGTGACAAGGATCTGTACAGTTTTACTAACACATGACAAAGTTGCAGGACTGGGTTGTTTCACCTTCTTAATGAAGGGGTTAATAAGTCGGCGGGTGAGATGCTCGTTATCGCTCTGATGTCACAAATCAGACCTGTCTCATTACCATACAATAGACAGGAAAACCGTACTGCCATGGGGCTACTAAAGTCCTCATCAGCAGGATGTGTTTCCTTTAATGTATGAAGACAGCATTTACATGGAGAGGCGGGGTCCCTGGGTTAACCCTTTGTGTCACACATGAATATTGGATGCAACATAGCATAGTGACTTCCACGCAGGGCCCCGGAGATCGAGGCTGCACGCTTTATGTGGTCTTCCCAGCTCTTACTTCAGATGTTACAGGTCCTCCTTAGCAGTGGCGTAACAATCACCATAGCGACCCAGGCGGCCGCTATGGGGCACAGTGGGGCCCATCCAGATGTCGTGCGGGCCGCCTGGGTCGCTATGGGATCCTCTGCTGGTGGCTTTCACTGGCGGCTGAAGACGAACACGCCCGCTGTTCAGATCACTGACAGTAATCTGTGCATCAGCGCGTTCCTCTGCACAGAGTCAATGAGAGCCAGCAGCGGCAGTGGAGCAGGCGGGACCCGGTCAGTGGAGGAGGAGGCGGGGACCGTGGTCGGCAGCAGGGGAGGAGGAAGGCCCGGCGATGGAGGAGGTGGCGGGGCCCATCAGCGCCCGTGGACGAAGAGGAGGCGGACAGGTAAGGAGTGCGACCAGCCCACCTGAGGGTGACTATGCATAGCCCACCATAGAGAGTCTAAGGTGGGCTCTGCAGGTTCACCCTCAGGTGGGATCTCGAGTGGGCTCTGCAAGGGGTATAACTAGAAATCACGGGGCCCCAATACAAAATTTTGCTATGGGGCCCTGTGATTTCTAGTTACGCCCCTGCTCCTTAGGACACTAGTGGTGTTACAGAACACGGTGACAGGTCCTCCTTAGGACACCTGAAGAGGACATGTGGGGACCACTGTAGCTTTAACACCGTGACAAGTTTACTTTACATTGTCCACTTGAGGGACGTTGTGTTGGAATGAAGGACGGAGGGATTTGGCTCTGAATGGTGCACAGGTTTCATTCTTCTCATTATAATACAGCGATGTGAAATGAATGATTTCTTGGCCAGTGGACGCGACGTACTGACCCCTGTCAGTGTGTAGATCAGGAAACTTCCCATCGTACCTATGAGAATGGAGCAATTCCAACGCTACTCACCTCTCCAGCTGTGCACTGACCTGCAACAGAGAGGTTGTTGAACACAATGACGGAAGAGCCATTGAAGGACGACCAGAAACAAAATGT